TGATGGGGACATGGTACCACAGCTCAGCAAAGTGATGACAACACAGAGACATGAGTGACATCAACGGGGACATCTGTGACATCACAGGGGACATCGATGACTTCACAGGGCCAGGAGTGACATCATAGAGACATCAGTGACATTATCGGTGTCAGTGGTGACATCCCAGGGACATTGGTGACATCACTGGGGACCAGTGACCTCACAGGGGACTGGTAACAACAAATGATAGCCGTGATGTTACAGAGAGATCGCTGAAATCACAAGGGACATCAATGGCTTCACAACAACAGTGGTGACATCACAGAGACTCCAGTGACAGCATTTGGGAACAGTGACATCATATGGGACTGTTGACAACAAAGGGACAACCCTGATGTCACAGGGACATCGGTGTCTTCACAAGGAAAGGGTTGAAATTATAGAGACACCAGTGAAATCATTGGGGACATTGCTGATGTCACAGGGGACAGTGGTGACATCACAGGGACAGAGGTTACATAATTGGGGAACAGTGACATCACAGGGGACTGATAATAACAAAGGGACAGCAGTGATGTCACAGCGACATTGGTGACATCACTGGGACATGGTGCCACTTTTGGGGACAGTGGTGACACCACAGAGACAGCAGTGACATCAATGGGGACATCTGTGACATCACAGGGGACATTGCTGATTCACAAAGCAAGGGATGACATCACACAGACTCCAGTGACATTAGTTGTGACACTGGTGACATCACAGGAGAAAGTGGTGACATCGCTGGGGACCAGTGACCTCACAGGGGACTGTTGACAACAAAGAGACAACTGTGATGTCACAGGGACACTGGTGACATCACAGGGGACTTGAGTGACATCACAAGGAGAGGGGTGACATCATAGAGACACCAGTGACAATGTCAGGGACATCTGTGACATCAGAGGGGACAGGGGTGACATCATTGGGGATCAGTGACATCACAGGGGACTGTTGACAGCAAAGGGACAGCCGTGATGGAACAAAGTCATCGGTGACATCACAGGGGTCTGGTGACATCACAGGGACATGGGGGACATCAAAGGGACATGGTGGCACTGCTGGGCACAGTGGTGAAATCACAGGGACATTGGTGAGATCACAGGGGGTGGAGGTGAACACAAAGAGACACCAGTGATATCATTAGGGACATTGATGACATCACATGGGACAATGGTGACATCATACAGACATGGGTGTTATCACTGGGGAGCAGTGATGTCCCAGAGGACTGGTGACAAGAAAGGGAATCCTGTGATGTCACGGGGATGTCGCTGACATCGAAGGTGACAGGTGACATCAGAGGGAAATCGATGACATCACAGGGACATAATGCCACCGCTGGGGACAGTGGCATCACTGGTGACCAATGACATCACGGGACTGCTGACAACAAAGGGACAGCCGTGGTGTCACAGGGAGACCTGTGACATGACAGGGGACATCGGTGACATCACAAGGCCAGGTGTGACATCACAGAGACATCAGTGACATTATTGGTGACACTGGTAGCATCACAGGGGATAGTGGTGACATCCCAGGTTCATAGATGATATCATTGGGGACCAGTGACCTCACAGGAAACTGTTGACAACAAAGGAATAGCTGTGATGTCACAGGGACATCACTGCCATGGGTGACATGACAGGGACATGGTGCCACGGCTCAGCACGGTGGTGACATCACAGGGGATGGAGGTGACAACACAGAGACAGCAGTGATATCATTGGGGACATTGGTGACATCACAGGGGACAGTGGTGACATCACAGAGGAACCTGTGAAATCATAGGCAATTGTTGCCAACAAAGGGAAAGCCGTGATGTCACAGGGACATTGGTGACATCACAGGGACATGGTGCTACCGTTGAGGACAGTGACAGCAATGGCATCATTGGGGACCAGAAATATCATTGGTGACAACAAAGGAAAAGCCATGATGTCACAGGGACATCAATGACATCACAGGGGACCTGGAGAACCACACAGAGATGACAGTGACATCATGGGGGATTATTGATGACATCACAGGGGACAGTGTGACATTACATGGACAGCAGTGACATCATTGTGGACCAGTGACATATTCCAAGGACATCAGTGACATCATTGGGAACATCAGTGACTTCACAAGGACAGGGGTGACATCTCAGAGATACCAGTGACATTATCAGTGACACTGGTGACATCACAGGGACATCCATGACGTCTTTGGGGACTAGTGACCTTTCAGGGGAATGGTGACAACAAAGAGATAGTTGTGACAACCACAGTGATGATGGGGACATTGGTGACTTCACAAGGACAAGGGTGACATTACAGAGACAGCCACCCCTGGAGCCCCCCCGCTACCAAAACCCACCCAGAGAAACCCACGACACCCAGTGACTTCCACTTGCCCCAGGATGGTCTCAGTTCCCATCAGTGTGATCCCAGTCACTCCCAGTTCATGCCAGTTGCCTCCAGCATGCACCCTGTCACTCCCAGTTACTCCCAGTTGCTTCCAGCATGATCCCAGTTGCTCTCAGTCCCCCCCTGCATAGTTCCAGTCGCTCCCAGTATGATCCTGGGCACTGACAGTCACCCCCAGGATGGTTCCAGTATGGTCCTGGTCACTCCCCACTATGGTCCCAGTCACTCCCAATAGCGTCCCAGTTGCCCCCAAGGTGGTCCCAGTTGCTCCCAGTCCCACCCTGGATGGTTCCTTTCCCTCTCAGAGACTCCCAGTCTGAGCCCAGGATGGCCCAGGTACTTTCAGTCCCTGCCTGGATGATGCCATTTCCCCGCATGGTCCCAGTTGCTCCCAGTATGATCCCAGTATGAGTCCAGTCACCCCCAGTATGATCCCAGGAACTTCCAGACGCTTCCAGTACGAATCCAGTTTGATCCCACTCATCCCCAGTATGGCTGCAGTCCCTCCCACACACTCCCAGTATTATTGCAGTTACTCCCAGTAAGACTCCAGTAGGGGCCCAGTTGCTCCCAGTATGATCCCAGTTGCCCCCAGTATGGTTCCAGTTGCTCCCCTTCACCCCTTCTATGGTTCCAGTCACTCCCAGAATGATCCCAGTCACTCCCAGTATATCCCAGTTGCCTCCAGCATGCTCCCAGTCAATCCCAGTATGATTCCAGTCTCTCCTAGTAGGATCCAAGTTACTCCCTGCATGGTCCCAGTTGCTCCCCAGTCACCCCACTGTAGTTCCAGTCCCTCCCAGTAGGATTCTTATCATTCCCAATCTCTCCCAGTATATCGCTGTCGACCTCAGCCTACTCCCAGTTACTCCCAGTATGCTCCCAGTCAATCCCAGTATGTTCCCAGTCATTCCTGGTCTCCCCCAGTATATCATAGTTGCCCCCAGTGTGGTCCCACTCACTCCCAGTTGCTCCCAGTAGCTTCCAGTATGATCCCAGTTGCTCACAGCCACTCCCAGTCACCCCCACTGTGGTCCTAGTCGCTCCCAGTATGATCCCAGTCACCTCCAGCGTGATCCCACTTGCTCCCAGTATATCCCAGTTGGGCCAACATGGTCCCAACTGCCCTCAGAATATACCCAGTCACTCCCAGTACGACCCCAGCCACCTTCACTGTGGGCTCAGTTGCTCCCAGTATGATCCCAGTTGTGCCCAGCATAGTTCCAGTTGCTCCCAGTGGTATCCTACTAGTTCCCAGTTGCATAGAACCAGTTGCTCCCAGTATGATCCCAGTTTGATCTCAGGAGGATAACAGTCACCCCCAGTATGATCCCAGGATCTTCCAGACACTTCCAGTACAAAGCCAGTTTGATCCCACTCATCCCCAGTATGGCTGCAGTCCCTCTCACACACTCCCAGTAACATTGCAGTCATTCCCAGTAAGACCCCAGTATGATCCCAGCAGGGGCCCAGCTGCTCCCAGTATGATCCCAGTTGCCCCAGTTCTGGTTAGTGGGGGGCAGCTTCCCAGTTCTGCGCAGTCCCAGTTATTGGGGGGCACTGGGGGGAATTGGAGGATCCCACGGGGTGGAGCCAAGTTTCGGGGGGCAGGACCGGCCCTGGGATGGATCGGGAATGGGGACCCCCCTGTGTTCCCCCGTGTCACTCTGCTCTGGGGGGGCTTTGGGAGGGCACCTCCCCCCCAATAAGCACCCAGTTCACCCCAAAAGGTGCTGGGACCCCCTAAAACCTCCCCACAGCCCCTCAAGGACCCCTGGCTGCAGGCGAGGAGCTCTCAGGTGAGCGGGGGGTGGGAAGGGGAGGTCAGTGAGAAAAGGGGGGTCAGAAGGGATAAAAGGGGTAATGGGACCCCAAACTGAGTGGGATGGGAGTGGGACCCCCCAAAAGTAGAGGGGGGGACACTGAGGCTTATGGGAAATGGGTGGGAGACATAAAAAGAGTGGGGAAAGGGCAGGGTGGGACCCCCAAACTGAGCATGAGGGGGCTGGGGAGTGGGGGATGATGTGGAAGGAGTGGGAGAGAGGGGAAAATGTGGGGTTGGGACCCCAGAACTGATCCTGGGAGGGACTGTGGATTGAGGGGACCATATAAAAGTGGGAGAAACAGGGAGAAGGGTGGAAAAGGGGATTGGTCTGGTGGATCCAACAGTCCCATGGGGGTCTGAGCACAGAAGGTTGGGAAAGGGGGGCGCCCCCCTGAGCTCCCAACTGACTGTGGGGTGCTGGGGCTGCTGGATGCAATCTCAGCCTTGGGTTATGCTAACAGGTTCAGTTTAGAGGAATTACAGAGGTGGGACTGAATCACTTTGTTCCCCAGGTTTTAAGGATGGCAAATCAAATCTATTGATAGAAATGAATTATTTAGGGTTACAAATGATCAGACAAAAGCTCCTCATCAAAATGATGTACTCCATATAGAAACACTAAAACTACCAGCAGGACAGCATAAGATAGGACAGTGCTCTACCCTAAAGCAATTGTTGAAGCAATTCTACTCAAGTTGGCACCAAAGTAAGAATTATTAATTAAAAATAAATGGAACTCCCCCAGACCAATGCTCGGGGGGAGATCTCTGCTCTCAACCTCCAGCAGTGACCTTGGGGGGTCCCAGCCAAGGCAGGAATCTCCACACATCCCCCAAGAAGGATTCTGTTTGCACAACCTGCCCCCGGGAAAGGGGACTGGCCCTTTCTGATGGAAAGGGATGGACTGACAGTCACTGGACTCCAGAGGTTGCCTCACCATCAGGGGGGTCATTCGGGGTGGGAGCAGTGGCCAAAGCTCTTCCCGCAGTCGGGGCACTCGTGGGGCTTCTCTTACCGGTGGGTCCGTTGGTGTTTGGTCAAGGCAGAGCTGTGGGTGAAGCTCTTCCCACACTCCCCACACTTGTAGGGCCTCTCCCCGGTGTGGATGCGCCGGTGGGTGATGAGGTGGGAGTTCAGCTTGAAGCCCTTCCCGCAGTCGGTGCAGCAGAAGGGCCTCTCCTCTGTGTGTATCCGCTCATGCCTGAGGAGATTGGAGCTGTTCCTAAACCTCTTCCCACATTCCAAGCACTTGTAGGGCCATTCCCCACTGTGGATGAGCTGGTGCTTGCGGAGTGTGGAGCTGTCACTGAAGCTCTTCCCACACTCCCCACACTTGTAGGGTCTCTCCCCGGTGTGGATGCGCCGGTGGCCAACGAGGTGGGAGTTGCGTTTGAAGCCCTTCCCGCAGTCGGTGCAGCGGAAGGGCCTCTCCCCTGTGTGTGTCTGCTCGTGCTCGAGGAGATGTGATCTGGTCTGAAACCTCTTCCCACATTCCCTACACGTGTAGGGCCGTGCCCCAGTGTGGATGTGCTGGTGTCGGATCAGGCTGGAGCTCTTTCTGAAGCTCTTCCCACATTCCAAGCACCTGAAGGACTTCTCCCTGCTGGGAGGCTGCTCAACAGATGCACCACAAGACAGGGCCAAAGGGGCACTGACTTCCTCCTCACCTGCCTGGGGGGGCCCACGGCATCTTCCTCTTCCTTGCAGCCTCCTCCTCCATCCGCCCAAGCTTCGGGAAGGACAAATTCTGCTGGGGGGAAACAAGGGCTGAGCGCGTTGGCTTGGGGGTTCCTCCTGCCCAAGTCCATCTCTAGAACTCACCAGGCATCCTCTGAGCATAAAAACCTCCAAAGCATGACGATTCAGCACAGAAAAACCCAAACCACCGAGATTCAGGCAAAACCCCTCAGAAATAGCAAGAAGACTCCCCCGCCCAAACTGCAAAAAGTTGAGATTCAGCTGAAATATACTCCAAATTATGAAGATTAGCCCAAAATAAATCTCTGCCAGGAGTTCCCCCTCTCTGGTCTCTCCCCTCTGGGGTTCAGAGGGTCTCCCCTCTCTGGGATGTTGGGGGTCCCAATGGTCCCTTCTCCTCTGACTCTCACCTTCAGGGTGCCGCCTTCTCAGACATTCCCCCTCTCCAGGTTCTCCACCTTGTTGTCCCAGGGATCCCAGGGGTCCCCTCTCTCCAGGTTTCCCCTTCTCCGCTCCCCCCGTTTCAGGCTCCCAGGGGTCCCGGGGTTCCTCCCTCTCCGTGCTCCCCCCTCCAGCCTGCCGGGGGTCCCCCAGCTCCGGAATCGCCCGCTCCGCCCTCCACCCTGGGCAGCTCCCAAACACAGAGATGGCACTTGTTCCCCTGCAGGGACTCCAGGGCAGCAGGGTGACTCCTGCACCATGGATGGAATGGCACAGGATCCCCTGGGTCCCCAGGCTGGATCAGCACTCGGGGATACAAACTGACCTCGGGCTCAGGATGCAGCTGCGAGCACAGATTGCCCTGCAAAGTCTGCAGGGAGTCAGTCGAGCTCTGGAGAGCAGATTGTGCCCCAGGGATGGGACTGCAGAGGGGCCCTCAGGTCCCCAGGATGAAGCATCAACCAGCAAAACACAAAAGGTCCCACCGAGGATTTCTGGGGGAGTGTCCTGGAGGGAGGGGACAGTGCTGAGGTCTCCTCTGAGCCTCCTCTTCTCCAGGCTCAACAACCCCAGCTCCCTCAGCCTCTCCTCACAGCACTTGTGCTCCAGTCCCTTCCCCAGCCTCCTTGCTCTTCTCTGCCCCTGCTCCAGCCCCTCCATGTCCTTCCTGACCTGAGGGGCCCAGAGCTGGACACAGCACTCCAGGGTGGCCTTCCCAGCGCTCAGTGCAGGCCAAGAATCCCTGCCCTGCTTCTGCTGCCACACTCTTCCTGAGCCAGGCCAGGATCCCTTGGCCCTCTTGGCCCCCTGGGCACACTCTGGCTCCTGTTCAGCTCCTGTCCCTCCACACTCCCAGGTCCCTTCCTGCCTGGCTGCTCTCCAGCCACTCTGTGCCCAGCCCGGGGGGCTGCTGGGGCTTGTTGTGGCCAAAGGGCAGGACCCGGCCCTTGGCCTGGTTGAACCTCATCCCCTTGGAATCAGACCATGGATCCAGCTTGTCCAGGTCCCTCTGAAGAGCCCTCCTGCATTCCAGCACACCAATATACATCCCAGCTTGGTGTCAGTTGCAAGTTTGCTCATGAAATGCTGGTTCTGCAGGAGCTGGAGATGCCCAAGGGGCAGCAGGACCAAGTCAGGGGCCTGGGGGGGTATGGGAGGCTTTGGGGTCCAGGAGGCTCCTGGGGGAGCTGGGGAGGGGCTTTGGGGATTGGGGGTACAAACCAGGACAGACCAGGACAGACCAGGACCTCCTTGCTGCTCCCCAAATCTCTCCTGGAGCTGGGCCACATTGTTGTGAGACACCTGATCCCCCCCAGTGCCCTCCCAGTACAGCCCAGTGCCCCCAGCACAGCCCACTGTGTTCCTGTCCCAGGGTGCCAAATGATTCCTCTTTGGGGGAGGTTGGATGGGGATTTGGGGGGTTGGGGGAGTTAAAAGGGGTCTCAGGGGCACTGGGAGGTCAAACGGATTGGGGGGCGGGGATTAAAGAGAAGAGGGGGTAAGGTGACATTTGGTGGAGTTATTGGGGCCGGGGGGGACAGGAGGGGCAGCACCACAACCACGTGAGTCCTGAGACCCCCTGGTGTCCCCAAGACCCTCCTGCTGTCCTCAATTTCCCACTTGGCACCCCGAGACCCTCCTGGTGTCTCCAATGTCCCCTGGGCCTCCCCATGGCCCCAATTCCCCCTTGAAACCCCCATTCCACTGTCCCCAAACCCCTCGCCACTGTCCCTAAACCCCATCCCTGATGTCCCCAACCCTCCATCTCTCCCCAGAAGGCCTCCCCTGGACCCTGTGGCCCCCAAAATGGCCCTGTCCCCTCACACTCACAGAAAGGCCAAGGGCATCTGGGGACACACTGGGGACACTTGAGGGGTTTTGGGGGCACTGGGTGATTACTGGGGGATACTGGGACACACGTGGGGAAACCAGGGGGTACTGGGAGGGACTGGAGACTTACTGGAGTATGCTGGAAGGGACTGGGTGATTAGTGGGTGATTACCAGGACACATGGGGGGACAGTGGGAGGTTACTGGGCCATACTGGGGGTTACTGGGTGCTCCCTGGAGGATCATTGGGCCATACTGGGGGGGAAGTGGGAGGTCACTGGGAAACACTGGGTGGTCACTGGGGGGTTACTGGGCCATACTGAGAGCCACTGGGAGGTCACTGGGCTATACTGGGGCACTGGGATCCCCTTACCCACATGTGGTTCATCTCCTCACCAAGACTTTGGGTGGCACCACCAGGACCCCTCCCTGAGGACTGGGAGACCCCTTGAACCCCACTGATAGGCTTTAGGGGACCCCTGGATCCTCCTCCCTGTGGGGTCTCTGTGTGCTGAGTTTTGGGGGTCTCTGGGGTTCGGGGGCATCAGGACCCGCTTTCCCTGCGGTCGGTCCGCCCAGCCGGCAGGGGGCGCTGTGGCACGAGCGGCAATGGCGGCGCCGCGCGAGGCCTGTTGGGAGTTGAAGTTCGCTCTATGGGAACTCCGCCGGCGCCTGCGCAGTGCAGCCATGGCGTTTAAACAGCCCTCTCCGGAGGGTTCCGAGGCCCCAGCCCTTTCAGGGACCCCTAAACCCCTTCAGGCACCTTCACCCTCCCCTCTGAGCGCCCTCAGGACACCAAATCCCCTCCGCGACCCCTCGACAGCTCCTCACGGACCTGAAAACCTCCTCGGGAACTCCCGAGCCCCTCCTCTCCACTCTGCCGAGCCCTCCAGCCTTCCCGCCCACAGCCGCGCTCCCTGCAGCCCCCGAGCGCATCCCCAGCCCCGCCGCAGCCCCCGCCAGGGCTCACAGAGTCGGAGCAGATCCCGCTGTCGCCGCCATCGCTTTCCCGGCAGCCACCGCGGGGCTGTGCGCGCGCACCGCCGGCAGAGACCCCGCCCCGCCCCCTTCTTCCGCGCGGGGCACGCCGGGAGTTGTAGTTGCAGCGGCTCAAAGCTCCAAACTCCCCAGACTCAATTCCCCACGGGCGTTCCTGGGGCAGAGCGGGGCAGAACCGGGCGGGGACGGGACGGGCATTGGGTGGAAATCATTATAAAAACTGTAACCCCCGCGTTGGAAGGGACGGGATGTGGGTTTGTATTCCTGGAGACTGGAGGCTCATGGAAACCTCTGCTGCTTCTCTGACTGCCTGCCCAGTTTGGCCTGGAGTCTTTTTCCTCTTCAGCCTTTTAGGCAGCAACGTTTATGGGGTTTATGAGGACATGACCTGTATGAGGAGAGCCTCTTATGCAGTATATGGGCTTTCTGAGGACAGCACCTTTATGACCTGCATGGGCTTTATGCAGAGAGATCTTTTATGATGAGAGCTCTGTCATGAGGTGTATGGGGTGTATGAGGAGAGTGCTTTTATGACATTTATGGTGTTTATGAGGACAGAGCCTTTATGATGTGAAGAGCCCCTTCTGAGGTGCACAGGCTTTATGAGGGCAGAGCCTTTATGAGATGGCGTTTCTGAGAACATCTCCTTTATGATGACAGCCCCATGAGGAGGTTTATGGGCCTTATGACGACAGGGGCTTTATGAAACCTGCACCATTCTGAGGTGTGTGAGGGTTATGAGGACAGTGCCTTTATGAGGCTGCCCCATTATGGGGTGGATGGGGTTTATGAGGAGAGAGACTTTATGAGGAGAGCCTCTTATGAGGTTTATGGGTTTTATGAGGAGAGTGCCATCATGACATGGAAGGGTGTTATAAAGACAGAGCTTTCATGATGAGAGCTCTTTTATGAGGTGTTTGGGCTCTATGAGGCCTGCACCATTATGAGGTTTATGGGCTTTATGAGAGCAGTGTCTTTATGAGGCCTGCACTGTTATGAGGTGGATGGGGTTTATGAGGGCAGAGCTTTTATGATGTTTATGGGGTTTATGAGGACATGGCCTTTATCATGGGAGCCCCTGATGAGGTTTATGGGCTTTATGAGGACAGCACCATTATGACATGTATGGGCTTTATGAAGACAGAGCTTTTATGATAAAAGGCCCATTATGAGGTTGTTTGGCTTTATGAGGACAGTGCCTTTATGGGGCCTGCACCATTATGAGGTTTATGGTTGTGATGGTTCAGACCTGGCTCCCTGCCAAATGCCCAAAATCACAGTAGCAACCCCCTTCCCCTTCCTTTCTTCCCTTAGGGCAAAGGAAAAAAAAAAATATAAAAAAATTGAAGAACCTGAAATAAAGCTAATTATATAAAAATGTGTATATTTACATATATTACAGGTATATACAGTTAAGATGCTATGTATCCAGCACAGGGAATCCAAACACCCCTGATAGGAAAGGGAGAGAGGAAAAAGGGACAAAAGTGGACAAAAGGGACACCGAACAGATATACACAATCAAACTCAAGAACTATCCTAATAACTAGCAAAACAAATCTCACCACGTCCCATAGAAAAGCAGGATTAGCAGACAAGGCCAGCACTCTCCAAACCTCCATGTGGCAGGCCAGGGGTCACCGAAGGCCTCAGGCTCCAGATAAGTGAGACCAACGCAAGGACCCCCTGCCCTGAACCTGGCAGGAAGAGAAGAGAAGAGGACTCTAATCTAGAACTTATTTATATTCTGGTTTGCGTAAAAATTATATGAAATTCGTGGTACATGGCCACTTCCTTGGTTACAAACTGGTTACCAGGAAGGCCCAGACCAAAACTATCACAGGGAGGAATCTTCATTCTTATTACATTTTGGGACACAGACTGACAATTCCAGGGCAGGGGCTCTGACACCAAACAAATGCAATTCCACCCAGGAAAGGAAGCCCTTACCCTCCATCTCTGCCCTGCAATTGGTGAACCACTCTTGGCACTCCAGGCACAAAGAGACCTTCTTGTGCTGGCACCTTTTGTCTGGGATGTATCTGCATTCTTCTTCCAATTTGGGATTCCGACTGACAGTTGCACTTCAGGGGTTCTGACACCAAACAAATGCATTTCCACCCAGGAAAGAAAGCCTGTAGTGGTTTTGAGTCTAGGCCTTCCTTGGTAACCAGGTTTTAACCAAGGAACTAAGGCCATATTCCAAGTATTCCATACAATTCGTACATAAGCAAATGTATAAATAAGAAGGCAGAGGAAGCTCTCGCTCTTTCTTCTGGCCAGCTGAAAGTGCAGGTTTTTTACTCTCACTGTGCCTGGGAGAAGGAGCGAGGCCTCGTGTGCCTGGTTGGCCTTGAGAAGCAGAAAGTGCTGGCAGTTTTTGGTGTGATTCTCTGCTAACTTAAGGAAAGTATTAGGGTAACGGTTCGACTTTAGGGTTCAGATTCAGGTTTAGGATCAGGGTTAGGGTCAGGGTCATGGTTAGGGTTAGACTTAGGGTTCAGGCTTGGGTTAGGGTTGGAGCAAGGGCTAGGGTTAGGGTTAGGGTTAGGGTTAGGGTTAGGGTTAGGGTTAGGGTTAGGGTTAGGGTTAGGGTAAGGGTTAGGGACTCTGAGAATTCCTGCACAGGGGTTCTGACACCAAACAAATGCATTTCCACTCAGGAAAGAAAGCCCTTCCCCTCCATCTCTCCTCTGCAATTGGTGACCCACTCTTGGCACTCCAGGTACAAAGGGATCTTCTTATGTTGGCACCTTTTGTCTGGGAGGAATCTTCATTCTTATTCCATTTTTGGACTTAGACTTACCATTTCAGCACAGGGGTTCTGCAATCAAACAAATGAAGTTCCACTATGGAAAGAAAGCCCTTACCCTCCATGTCTCCTGTGCAAATTATGAGCCACTCTTGGCACTCCATGCACACACAGAGCTTCCTGTTCTGGCACCTTTTGTCTGGGAGGAATCTTCATTCTTATGCCATTTGGGGGATCAGACTTGTGTCGGAAGGGATGGTTGTGGGTTTGTATTGCTGGAGACTGGAGGCTCATGGAAACCTCTGCTGTTTCTCTGCCCTCCTGCCTAATTTGGTCTGGAGTCTTTTTTCCTCTGCAGCCTTTTAGGCAGCAGTGTTTATGGGGTTTATGGGGACATGGCCTTTATGAGGAGAGCCTCTTATGAGGTGTATGGGCTTTCTGAGGACAGAGCTTTTATGACATTTATGGTGTTTATGAGAGCAGAGCCTTTA